GGCCCCCCAGGTGTGGCAGCGGGTCCCTCGCCCTCCTCCCCCTCGCCCGGGCCGCGGCAGGGCTGGCAGGGAAACGCTTTCTGCTCACAGGTGTGGATTCCCTCTAGGAATAATCATCCTTGCTGTGCTCTTGTGAAATTTCAACCCTTCAAACGCAGAGGTAAATGAGATACAAAACGAGGAGATGGAGAGAAGCCCGGAGCACATAAATCTGGATGAGGCAAATTTATACAATTAGATGTCTGCCAAAAAATTGCGGCATCTCAATCGGAGGCGTTGGCTTGCGCAGGGTGTGGGGTGGCAGCTGCCCGGCTGGAAGGCAGCAGCCCCACAAGCCCATCAAGACACCTGACTGATGCTAGAGCCCCACCTGGGGATGCAGGGGACTCTGTGGATCCCTTCCTGCAGGCTCACTCCCCCCAGCACCAGACTCCCCCCCACGCATCGCTCATACCCCATGGAAGCCACAGTATCTGTTCATCTTTCACAGCCACAGACCTTCAGAGGTTTATTTATTTTTAAACACTGCCTTTCCTGGACTCAGGTTTTAATTTTAAGAGGAAAAAGTAACTTTCCAACTGGAACCCACTCCCCTAGTCCCAGTGCCCCCCCGCTTGTATCCCAGCACAGTGATGCTTTCTCATCACTGTGGGCTGGCAAAGTTTGGAGTCATGTCCTGCCATATGCCCTTGTCATCTCAGAAAGGGCCAGCTGGAGCGTGTCACACAGCAAGAGAAAAAGGTAGCTTGTCCAAAACCCAAAATGCCATAGATCATTACTAAGGCCTTGGGGACCAAAGTCAACAGCTGTCCAGGAAGGAGAGGAAACCAAGGGAGGAGAAAATTCTTTGGCCTCAAGTGAAGCTTGCTCTCTGCCTGACCCATAAAACCTGTATGTCAGGGACAGCTCTGCTTGCTGGGAACTGAATGGCAAAACACTTCTGGAGGCTCATGCAGTGCAAAGTGGGACCTGACACCCTCGGGAAGGACCTGCTGTCCCTGCAGCTGGGGGGACATGAGACCCTGGCCACCCCACACACCACGGCCAGGCCATCAGACAGAGCGGCTCAGTCTGCGCCTACCAGGGCTGCGTGTGTGTCGGAGCCAGCTTGTTCTCCGCAGTGAGAGCCCGATGACTTCATCAAGGGGATGGCATCTGGTTTTGCAGTTGGCTATAATTCAATTCTCCCCCTTGCTGCAGGAATTTCAGCTGGTGGAGCAGTGATTTACTCAGACGGGGCTGCACTTGAGTGCAAAGCAATCTTGAGGCTACAATCGAACGCACTGTTATTTTGAGAGCTCACGGACAAGGGAATAAATATCCTCTTTTCATCCCAGTAGCTGCCAAGTGCAGGCTACAGAGCTTTTTAAAGGCATTTAGGAGCTCTCCTCTTAACAAGTGCACTCTGGATGCTGTGCGTGGTCAGGCAGGACCCTGCCTGCACAGCTCACTCCTGATCTGTGGCATCAGGATGGGATTTGCAAGGACAGCCAGACACAGCCAGAGCACCCCTTTACCTGCCCACCACAGCTCCATCTCCAAGCAACCCCGATCCTCCCCAAAACCCCTTCCCCATCACCCCAGTACACATCGTTCCTGATTCCAGCAGCCCTGAGCTTACCCCAACCCCCTTCAAACCACCTGGAACCCTGGGGCTCTTTTGGTCCTGGGTTCCTACACTCCCCCTTACTCCAAGTCTGTTGTCTGCTCCAACAGGAAAAGCAAATCAGACCAAAGCAAACTCATCCAGATGGATCAAAAGCCCTCATCCTTGACCTCTTTCGCTGTCTCACCAACACTCACCCCTTGGGAGCAGTAGGGCTTGTCTGTGGGAGCCCCTGAAGGACTAATGAAGCCCCTGAGAAGGGGCTTGCTTGGGCCACACACTGCCATGCCAGAGCCTACGGATGCTTTATGGGATGTGCCCATCAGGGAGCCAGAAGAGAGACCACAAAACTCATTGTCACTGGGGCCACAGCCTGGCTCTCCAGGGACAGCAGGTCAGGGCAGAGCCCGGGAAGAGCCCCCAGGTCAGGAAGTTTTTATGGTTGCCCAGCCCTGTGAGCACTTTCATGTGCACATCCGACTCAGCACAGCTGTCCAGGCCACAGAGAAAGAAACTCCACTGCTCCCATGATAAACCCGCAGTCACTCTTAACACTGTCTTGTCCCCAGCAACGAAGGGCCAGGAATTCCATGATTTTATGAGGAAAAAAACAACACATCCACCCCATCTACATTAAAAACAAGGCGCCTCCTTCCAGCCCCACAACGTGCCTTGCTGGCAATGGCAGAGAACTCCCTGTTCCAAGTACGAGACCAGCTCCAAGCTTGCAACAAAATAGGGAAGCCAGAATATTTCCAGGTTTACGTTTGAATCCCTCCCTTCTTCTCTGCCCTGACAACATCTCGCACAGGCGTGTTCCTCCCCTGCCTCCACCTTCCCCAGGGTGGGCTCCCTGTTCACAGCACTACAGAGATTATTTTAGCCTCTAAGCCCCCCATCTCAATTTGGACTTAATGGTGCCATCACCTTCCTGCTGCTGAGACAAAAGCTATTTATTGACTACTCTGATACACCGCCAATAGGGTTGGATCCTTATCTGGAATCCAATGCGCTGCCTGGATGGACCAGGAGCAGAAAACTCCAAATTTTTATGGAGGCAGGAATGTATTACAGCCAAAACAGCAAAGCTGGAAACAAACAGGGAAAGCCAAAGCAAACCTGAGCCTGCCACACCTGTGGGGCAAAAACACCCAGGGCCAGATTTTGGAAGTACAAAAGGATTTGCAAGAAAACTAAGCACAGCCTGTATTGGGAGGCACAGGTTTGGTGCACCCAGGAGATCAGGGTCTCAGCTGAGAGAGCACCCACGAGCATCCAAAACTGGGACTTGGCACAAGCTCTAAGGAGAATTTCTGCCAAGGAAACTGTGAGCAGTGGCCCGCTCTGCCCAGGGCTCCTTCCCCAGCTGCCCAGCGGTCACCCTGACCCATGGCCAGAGGACCCAGCCCAGGGCACTGGACAGTGGGGGCTGCCCAGGAGGCAGCAGAGCGAAGCCATCACTGTGAAAGCAGCACAAGAGGGAATCCAGCCCGGGCTGTGAGCGTAGGGGGGGGGGGTTAAGCAAATAAATAAATAGGGCAGGACTGTGATCTGACACGCCGAGCGCCCGCTTGGGCAGCCTCCAGCAGCCCAGCTCACCTGGGGCTCCCAGGAGGGGTGCGAAGCCTCCTTGATGCTGGGAACCCACAAATTCCCAGGAAGCACAGGGAAGAAAGGATATGGCATGGAATAAATCCCCCCTTTTTCCTACCTTCCCACCCACAAACCTTTCCAAAAAAAGCCCCCAGTCTGCTGCCAGCCCAGGGCACGGGGAGCCCCGTCTCCGCCTGCGCCCCGCTCCCGCGGGCTCTGGATCGCCTCGTTCTGCCAGTTCTTTGCACCTTATTTGACTGCTGAAGGGAGAATCAAACAAAGCAGCCAGCCAGATCTCCTATCAAGTTCTTTCTTGCACCGTAAATCTCACAGCCTCGACGCTTTGCAACTCAACCGCTCCGAAAAGGGCGTTAAGCAACACATATGGGAGCAGCTCCAGAGTTTCCAGAAAAAAAAAACAAGGGGTTCAGCTTCCAGCCTGCTAGGAAGTCCCATGGGAAAACTGGGGTTCAGAGAGACACCTCAGTGCTAAGGGCAGCGCTGAAAAGGTTTTCCTGGAAGAGGGCGAAGAGGGCAAAGATGGGAGGAAGGGCGTAAAGCAGTTATTTATTTATTTCCTGCATGTGTGTGCAAGACTGCTTCACCTACGGTTATGCAAAAGAAAGGCAGAGGCGATTCAAAAATTAATAAATTAAAATTTTTTTTAAAAGGGAAAGTTTTACTGAACTAAGACGATAGGGAGATTTAAGCCTTAGAGCGTTTCTTTCTCCCTCCTGCTTTCTCTCCATTTTTCCCCCCTTGCAAATGAAAAAAAAAAAAAAAAAAAGAGGTAAAGAAACTGGAGAGTTTTGGAAGGAACAAATCCGCCTCTGTGGACTGGGTTTCCCCTCCCCCAACAAAAACAAGCACTCAGGGCTTGAAGGAATTTGCAGGCAGAGATCTGCCAAAAACATTGTGAAAAACTATGGGGGATTCATTGGAAACAGATGGCGTTTTCAGCTGTAATTCTGAAATTCTCCCCTTTTCTGACACAATACAAACATCGGGGCCGGGGGCGGCGGGGGGGCCGAGCCCCGCGGCGGCTGCGAGCGGCCGGCCCGGGGGTGCCGATGCTCGCGGGACCATTTGGTTGCCATCCCGCCCTCGGACAGCACAACAGCTCCCGGCCCAGCCAGGGCAGGGTTTCCAAGCCAAACGAGGGTGCTGAGCCCCCCACCAAGAGCCGCGGGGCGGTGAAGGGAGAAGGGGCGGCCGCCCGCAGCGCCCGCGCATCCCCCGCCCGCCCAGGTGCGCCCCGCGGCCGCGCTGCCCGTGCGGCCCCCGGACCCCCCACCGACCCCAAATCACACCGCAGTGACCCCCCCGAGCCCTCCGCGACCCTCCCCGGCTCTGCCCTCCGCCGTGGGGAGCGCGACCCCACTGCTTTCACGGCAGAAATTCAGGATGGGGGTGTTCATGTGCGGGTCCCCCCCACCAGTGTCCCCCCTGCCTTTCGCGGCAGCCGGGAAGGGGAGGACAAAGTAACCTGGCGCTGTCAGGAACACCTCCCGGCTGCCTTGGCCGCTTTGATTTCCACCATCTCCTTCCTTGTGGGATGAGGAGCGGGGAGACAAAGAAGATGAGGTCAAGGGAAAACACCCACCGCAACTGCTCGGGAAACGGGGAACTGGGGGTGCGCGCACCAAAACTGAGCCCCACTTGCTTATTTTAAACATGTGGCAAACTGCTGCGAGGAGAGGGAGAGGGAAAGAGGCCCAGGGACAGGGGAACGGGGGCGGCGATCCAAGGGCTGCCAGAAACACAAGGAAAAAGTCTGCAAAATAAAGAGGCTGTTCCTTACCTGAAGGGAAGATGCAGAGAAAGACAGGGAGGATTTGGAAAAGTCCCAGGGCTGTGGATCCTGCCCCTCTCCCCATACCCATCCATCCAGCTCGAGCTTTAACCACTATCCTCTCCCTGGAAGAAGAGTTTAAAAAGAAGGGAAAAAAAAAAAAAAAAAAAAAAGGAGAAGGGAAGAGAGGAGAAGGGAGGGGGAGAAAAAAAGGGAAAAATAAATCAATCGAAAGAACTTGGGGAAAAAAAAAAATGAAATCAAAAGCCCCACATGGCTCCGCGGAGCGCGGCAGGCACGGGCGGCCCCAGCTCCGGGCTCAGCACTGAAAGATTACACAGACTTTTTCTCCTTCTCCTCCTCCTCCTCCTCCTCCTCTCCGTCCCCTCCCATCACAACCCAGCCCCAGCCATCAATCATCCCGCTGCCTCCCAATGCCTGCATCCTGCTCCGCGCCTCCTCCTCCGGGCGCGCCCGCCTCCCCGGCCATGCTGCGGGAAGGGGCGGGCGCGGCGCGGCCATGGGAGCGCGGCCGGCAGGGAGCGGGGAAAGGGAGCCGGGAGAGCCCGGCCGGGGGTTCTAGCTGTGGATGCAGCCACCAGGCTGTCCCCGTGCTCCCGGGGAAGGGGTTGGTGCCACTCAGGATGGGCAATGGGAAAGGGTCTCGATGCTTGCCTGCCGTCACTCGTCGCAGCTCTTGGCAGTTTTGGGAGAGGGGATTCCTCCCACTCACTCCATCGGGTCTCCACTCCACTGTGCCTTCCTTGCTTCTCTCCCATAGGCCTACCAAGAGCGCTTTGGATCGTCCAAAAAATAGGCAGTTTGGGGTAAAGGGGCTGTTGTACAGCAGAGGAGGGAAACTGAGGCAGGGAGGCTTTAGGCAGCGGGTGCAGGGTAGGGGTTGTGACAGCGACACTGAGGTCTCCAGCCTGCTGGGGGATGGTGTCCCCCCAGCACACGGAGCTCCTCCACGTCCTCCCAGCCCTGGCACCATGGTAGGTGAGAGTTTCACAACAGTTACAGGTCATTCACCCGCACCTGTGCTGGCACTGGCAGCGGTGAAGTAACCCCAGGTGACTCAGAAACAGAAAGTCTCATTCATAGATCCTTATCATTAGACTGGCACTCCTTACATAGGGGCACGGCTGTCAGGTACCCCAAATCCAGCTGCTAGCCCACCAAGGACTGATGGAAATAAATAACAAGACCTACACTATCTCAGGACCTCCACCCCTGTCTCGTCTGCACCCCCAGCCCACATACAGGCCATGGATATTCAGCTTTCACTGGGGCAAAGTCTCACCAGTTATGCTGGTTGTCCTGGGGTCTCAATTTTAAGCCTCTGGGCAGTCCCAGGCAGACACCAACCCTGGGAGAACCCTGCCTGCTCACAGCCCATCAGATGGAGCAGCAGCTTGGAGCACACAGGCGTTTGCCTGCTGGGTTTCAAGATCCTTCTCTTTTTCTTCCTCCTGCAATGCCACAGCTTGTGGAGGTGAGCAGATTGGATCTGCATCCCCACCATCCCAGGGATGTGTGCCACCCATGAGAGGGCTAGGCCAGGAGGAAGACATCCACTTAGCTTGGATCTCTTAAAAATTTCCCTTGAGGGTTGTTTTAGCCACAGTGAACTAACACCACTTCTGAATGAGGGAGCCCACGGGTGTAGGCTTTAATAACTTCCCTGTTTTGGATCATTAGCTCTCCTTTGATGGTGTCCCCTTGCCATCCTGATGTTTCATCTCCTTTCTTTTGGGGTTCTTATACAAAGACTAAAAGGATGCTGGTTGTTCTCTATACTACCCTTTTCCCAGCTCTGTAAGACCATTCATCTTTCCTTCTGCAGGCTGGTATAAACTGGGAAACTCCTTGACATTTCTTCTAATTGTACTTGGAAACCTCCTGTTTTAGCTCATAAACATCCTTAAGGATGCTTTTTCGAGTGACAGTGGCTTGAAGTCTCTAAGAGTTTGTGATCTCCCTGTCACGGATTGAATCTGTGATCCAGTACAACAAATATCCCATAGAAAGAGAAGGAGGAGATGGGAATAAATATCCAAGAAGCAAAGATATCTTTTAACATCTATCAATTTCTCCATGAGGGGAGTGAGCCCCCATGCCTCCAGATGAAGGAGGAGCTTCTCTGGGGCTTTATCCAGGCTGCAACAGGAATTAAAACACTGCAGCTTTTCCATCTGGGTCCCAGATGGGATCCAAAAATCCTGTGGCCTTGCCTGCCTAACGGAATATCTGTCCTGGTCCTGCTGGTCCTAGAGCTGCTCCCAGACGGTGTCCACTGAAGTCAGAGGGAGCTCTGTGTGCAGAGGAGCTGCCAGAGTGGGCAGAGCTGGGCAGGAGATGAAAGCTGGCAGGCCGGATCCAGACCTGTAGCAGAGGCAGTGTGGGAGGAACGCCGACTCGAAGCACCTCTTTGTGGGGGATGTCAAACAGGGGCAAATATGTCCAAACCCTGCCAGCTGCTCCTACCACCCAAGAAGAAATGCCTGCTGATGGGATGTGTAGGCAGCTGGAGCTGGAAGGGGCCTGGGGGGAGGAGAGAGGGTCTGTGAGCTGGGAAGAGCCCAGGAAAGTGGGGGGAGATCCAGGGGATGGGGTTCCAGACCTCAAATCCCTTCCTCTTGCTCCCACCCTCTCCTCTTGCAACGCAACTTTTGCTTTTATTTCAAGATGAAAAACATAATTTCTGCTGTTATCCTGTCTGATGACATTTAGCATGATCTGTTTAACTTAAAAAAAACATCTGAATTACGAACTTTTAAAAGCCAGCTGTTAAATAGCTGCTGCGAGGCTGCTTTGATGGTTTGACCTAAAGCACCACTTTGGTATTGCCCTTTTGGGGCAGGCTGACACATTGCAATGATAGCCTGGAATCCAGTCTGAGGCATTATAGTTAAAATAAGACCCTTGATGGAAATTCTGCCTTTGGTGTAGGGAAAACTGTGCTGCCATAAAGCAACGGTCGGATGCCCCTGGCTCCAGTTTGTAAAAATTTCTCCTTGATTTTGCTCCGTTGCATCATGCATTGCAAATGGGATTGCTGTTCTTGGCACCCATCAAAGCAGCGGATTTTGCTGGAGAAAACAACAGATGTGTCCAAACCATAACTTCAGGGAGGAAAAGGCCCCAAATAAGGTGTGTTTCTGAAATCCTGCTCCCCCTTACATGCTTTTGAAATAAACTTCATCTTTCTGTTTAGCTGAATCAAAGATCTGGACTTCAAATCGCCTACTGAACCAGAGGCTGTGTGAAATTCGGATCTCTGCCCTGCTAAATGGGGATATCTAGACTTGGAAATGTGGAATGACTGCACCTCCCCCAACTTCTTTCCTTCTCAAAGTCCACCCAGGACTCCCTGTTCAGGCAGCGTTGATCCCGATGCTGCTTGCAAACAGAATGTGGGCAACCACCCACCACTGAAATGCAACCACTGCAGAGGCTCAGCTTGGGGCACAGGCACCTCCGTGGTCTTCTGCACGTTGGTCGCCGTGTTTGGTGTCATTATGGAGGGGTGACATACGAATCACAGCCTCTCCGAGGTGTTTGCAGGATGCTGGAGGAGTCACAGCTCCCATGGGATGCTCAGCCAGGATCACTGGGCTGAACTTTCCTTTTCTCTGCCCTGCGTGGCTGTGGGCTGCAGTGGGGCTGAGTGAATGTGGCAGATTTGAACCCAGAGCTTTGCAGATGAGGGCTCCCCTTACAACCTTCCTAATGGAATCATTCACTACCTGTAATTATATGGCTAAAATAGTAAACATGGGCATTTCTGAGGGCTGCAACTAGTAGTTAGAGGAATGGATGTCAGGGCTCCTGCTCTGCTCCTGACTCTCCCGTGAACTTTCTGTGTGGCCACTTTTCACACCACTATCTCCACACTCGTGCCTTTGCCTGCTCTGCCTCAGGACACGGTGTTCAACTCATGGCCTGTCTGGGATAAACCATAATCACTCCTGCAGGAAGCTAATCCTGACATGCTCTGCAGGGGTATGTGTGTTTGGGGTGAGCAGCAAAGAGTAAGCTGCTCCTTAAAGGAGGAAGAAAGGAAGTTTGTGATAAAAACCCCCACGTTGTTGTCTGGAGAGGTTTGACAACTGATCCCAAAATGTTTGTGGAAATAAAAGCAAACACTTGGGCGCTGAACAATTCCCTTACTAAAGAAAAAAATCCCTCTGAATAAGAAGAACTAAAAATACCCCAACATCTTTATGCAGTATCAGCCATCTCTGATATCTGCAATTAATTTTAAAGATTTTCCTTCCTCATCATTCCATTTTTTATAGTTTTACAGTTTCCCTGGCTTACCAAGCAGACACTGTGCCTGAGCTGTGCACCCAAAGCTGCAGAATATGTATCTAGACCCCCTTCCCTTACCAATGTTTTCTTGCAGGTAGAGCAGGAAAATGTCCTCTCAAGATCTCCTTAGTGCCCTGCACTGAACTTTGGCATTAGCTGGACAGGGTAGGCAGTGGGGACGGCACAGAGCTGGGCTTTGAAGAGCAACCCACTCCTGCATAGCAAAGTGCAGAGAGGAGTTTGTTGGTTTATCTAAATCCTCCTTCCCACAACTCCTCCTGTGAACATCAGCCTCACCAACCTGGCTGTGTAATAAGAGGCCAGTTGTGAAAGGTGGGAAAAATACAGCTTTGTGCCACCAGTAAATGAAATGTAAGAACTCTTTGTTGACCTGCATCTTTGCATCTGCAGATTAACTGATTATCAGCAGCCCCCCCTGAAGTCACAGTGGGTAATCTTCTCTCCTCAAATTGCCTGCTCCAAACCCACAGCCATAAAAATTACCTCTAAATACTGAAAAACAGCCAGGCTGCACAAGGGGAAGGGAAGATGGGCTGGTGGAAAACTTCCAGTCTCACCCATGACAGAAAGCAAAACAGGCAGGGATATTTTAAGGCAAATAGAGCTCATCGCAAAAACTTTTTCTTTTTTTTTTCTTTTTCACTTGTAACATCCATTTGTGTCTCTCCCTTGCTTGCAAAGCCCTGGGGGGTGAGACCTAATTCCTGCACATGGGAGTTTGTAACTATCCCTTGTTCAGCAGTGTTTGCAGGGCTGGCTGAAATTCACCATCTGTGTATTTCAATCTCTGCAGGGAGCTGGTCTTCCTGGCCCAGTCTCCTCTTTGGGGTAGATCTCAAGCAATAGCTCTGTAGTGTATCTTCTTCACATCTGGGCTCCCCTCTAAGCAAAAATAGAAGATGGGCTGGGAGGTTCCCAAGAGCAAGTTCAAATGGGCAAATGTCAGCTCAGCGGAAAAGATGGATAAGTCTGAACTGCCAAAAAATGATTAGAATCATAGAATCACAGAGTGGTTGGAGTTGGAAGGGGCCTTAAGGATCATCTAGTTCTGATCCCCCTGCCATGGGCAGGGACACTAGAAGAATTGCAGAGAACTGGGTGTTTCTCAGCAGAGACAGAAGCCAGTCTGTGTGATGGGACAGTCTTTCTCTGCTGCTTTTAAAAGCTCCTGACATCTCGAGAAAGTGCAAACATAGCTCGCTAATTCCCCTCCTCTGACTGACAGGTCAGCTAAGGACATCTCCTCGATCCTATTTAAAGGTGGGAGATGGCATCGAGTGTTTGCAATCTACATCTGCAGCCCTTTGAGCAAGGGGTGTTTGAAGGATCCTCTGGAAAAAGCTCTGTGAAACCCAATCACCTCTCCCAGGTCTCCTTCTGTCAATGCCTGACAGCAGTGGCCAGAAATACAACCCAATACAGGATGCCTTTCCTGTGTTCTCAGTTTTGAAACACTGAAACACTCAGTGACAGTGACCTCAGCTGATTTAAAACTTTGTCCTGAGTATCTGAGAAAGAGACATTTCCTCTTATGGGGGAAAAAGCCCCAAACCCAAACAACTTTAATCCAGCACTTTTGTGGGTATTTTATCAAACGAAAATGGGAGTTTTTTGTGGAGGGGAAGCATCTTGGAATTGGCACCAGGAGTCCTCCTGGGTGTGCCTGGCTCGGGGCTGGGCTGGGTTAAGGTTGGGCTGGGATTAAGCTGGGACTAGGGTTGGGGCTGGAGCTGGGACTAGTGCAGGCTTGGAGCTGAGCTGGGACTGGGGTGAACTGGGCTAGTACTGGGCTGGACTGGGATTGGGCTGGGCCGGGGCTGCGGCCCCACTGGGTGGTGCTGTTATCCCTGCGCCGCCTGCAAAAGTATCCAGTTTATAAAATAAATGCAATCCAACGCCGCCTTAAACCACATGACATAACAGCAGCTTGCGAGCTCCCATTAAAATCTCAATTTGGGGAAATTGATTCTACCTCTGAGCAATTGCGATGCAATTACTCCAACAGGCAGCAATCAAGAATCACATCAAAACAACACCAAACTTTCATCTCCTGCCTCGCAACCACCACCACAACAAAAAGCACCTGTCTTGCAAACGCAGCCCGGTTTCCATAAATATATATGATTTTAAGAAGGGCAACGTGCATGTCCCAGAGTAGAAGCTTGGACAGAGGCTGCTCTGGCTGGTGTGTCTGAGCTGTCCTGTCTGGGGGCTATATTCTGTCCCCCAGTCTCCTGGAGGAGGTTTTGGGCTATTTACGGACTCGGGACATCAGGAACGAAGTCGCTGCCCGTGCCCTGCCACGCTCCAGCTGCCCATCCTCTCCCTGTGCACAGATGTGCCCATCCCAGCCATGTCCCACATCTGTCCAGCTGTCACCCCCCGCCTTCCTTCCCTCGGAGCTCCTAAACCCCCCCAAACACTTTGCAACCAGAGGAGCTCAGGGAAAGCTTTGTGTCCCCGCTCCGCTCTGGATAATCGCGATCAGCCCCGGGATGAGCTATCCAAGGGGAAGGGGGAAATATTGGGGAGGATGTTTACAGTTCTCATCAGTGGTCTGCAAGGAATTACTCGACTGACTTAGCGCAGCAGGGAGCAGCTTTAGTGGCAACCATCAGAAGGGAGGATAAATGAATAACCTCATGCATGCCAGCTAGCGCCGAGCCGGGCAGGGAGCGCTGGGCAGGGGGAGTGGGAAGAATCGAGGTTCCTTATAAAAACGGGGAGGGGAGGGGGGAGCCAGGAGGAGACCGAGAGCCTCAACAGGTCCGGAGGAGGAAGGGCCATGCAGGGAGCCGGGGGACATGCGGCCGGGGGGGCCCCCAGCCCCCGCCCCGCTTACCTTGGCGGCCGCATCAGCCTCTCCAGCCCCGCGGGGGTCGGTGCAGGCAGCGGCGGCTTGTTTTATAGAAATATATAGTTGTTTGGGTTTTTTTTTCCAGGAGGGGTAAATAAAAATAAAAAAAACTGTATAAAATAAAACCCAAACGAAATAAACTAGTAAAAGCCCCCAGGGGTCGAAGTGGGGGTGGCGGGGGGGTGGAGGCCGAGGGGCGCGGGCAGCCCCCCGCCCTGCGGGCAGCCCCGGCGGGGTGCAGGCGGCCTCGCTCAGCGGGACGCGGGGAGCCGCATCGCCCTCCCGGAGCATGTGAGAGAAACGGAGGAGATAGAGCCAGATAGGGAGGTCCCCTCCCTCCCTCCTCCCTCCTTCTCTTCTCCCTCCTCCCCTCCTTCCCTCCGCACACGCTGAGCAGCGCCGTTCGCAAGGAGCGGCGGAGGGAGGGATGGAGGGATGCAGGGCGGGAGGGAAGGAGGGATGCAGGGCGGGAGGGAAGGAGGGATGGAGGGAGGGAGGGAGGGAAGGAGGGATGGAGGGAGGCGCGGCCCCGGCCTCGCGGAGGGGGCTGGGGGTCTCCACTTCAACACCCCGACCCCCTCACCCCCTCTTTGGCTACAGGCACACAGGGGCTCGGGGACGTGGAGGAGGATTTCAGGCTTTTCCCGGAGAGGTGGGGATGCTCCACCTGCAGCAGGAGGGGATGAAGGGGAAGTGGGGTTTGGGACGCACCCCACTCTCCAGCCCCTGGGGTGTGTGTAGGTGCTGAGAGCATCTTTACATTGATGGGGGACTGGGACAAAGACTGAACTGCGGGTGGGAGGAGGATCCTCAGCAGGACTGAGTGGTGGGGAAGGGATGGAGACCCCAGGCTGCTGTAAGAGCCCCTCAGTGTAGTCGCCCACCCCAGCTGCCCCAGCACCCAGCACTGCCGAGGGCTGGGCAGTGTGGCAGCTCGCCCCCAAGTCTCCCTGCTACTCCTGGGATCAGCACCCATCTCCCAGAGAGGCTGTGGGGGCTGGTTTTGGCATGCACGAGTACCAGGGCGATGGGAAAGCTCTGAGTGCCGGGCTGTGCCAACCAAAGTGTCAGACACACAATTAATTACTGCAGCCCCAGAGCCACAAACACTAAATATGCTGTCGCCGTAGTGTGTGGATAATAGCAGCCCTTTGCAAAGTGTTTCTTTCTCCCCTTTCTCCTCTGTGTGCAAGAGACAGCGACTGCAGAGAGCACACAGCAGCTCTCCACTGCTTGATTAAGTCAGCAGTGAAGACAAAATGTGCCTGTACAGCTCAGGCTTAAGGAGGGATTTGAGTGTGTGTAAGGTACAAATTAGAAAATGGATGTGATTTAATCACAACAAATCTAAACAGCTCTGCTACAGAAACCTTGCCATCAAAGAGGGCTTTCTCTTAAATGTGGACACAGTGAGTGTATAGTTCTGACAAAGGAACAATGTGTTTGGGGATGAGTTATTAAAGCAGGAACAGAGAGAAGACTAGGGAAAGCCTGATGTATACCAGATAAGTTATCAGTTATAGAAGGAATGGCTTCCTTCCGTAATAATTATTTGCAAATCAGTCCTTAGTTCTGGATACTGTGGTGTCTGGACCCCACAGCAGAGACAGAGCAGCTTCTGTCAGGCTTGGGATGATGCACAGACAGGAAACCAGGCACAGACCCTGCCTGGGAGAAGGTAAACTGCTTGTTCAGAGGAGCCCAAGTGAATGAAGCAGACAAAGAGGAGGGGGGAGAAGTGATGGCAAGGCCAGGCCTTCCTGCAGGTGTGCACAGTGGGTCGGGCATGAGTCCCAGGCTGTAAAATACCGAACACCGGAGCGTTACTAATCCCAGCTCCTGGGGACTGTGCCCCTGCTGGCTGGGGGGGCACTGCCACCATAACCACAGGCTGTGTTGGGGAAGGGCTTCCCTGAGAAGACAAAGCACAGGACAGAAGAATGCTAATGCACAGGGCGCTGAGGTGCCTTGGTAACAGCAGCAGAGCATTGCGGCGGCAGCAAGTTGGTGCTGAGCCCAGTCCCTGTTGGGAACCAGGAGCCCCAAACTGGGGAGGGTCCAGCACAGCACAGCTGCATTCGTGGGAACTCTCAGAAGTCTCCGCTGGCCACTTCCCCCAGCTCTTATCAGCTCGCCCGTTAATCTTTGGCATCACAACAGGAGTTGGCACCTCCAGTTCCAGGTGCAAGGTGCATGTCTTTGACCTTGCCATTTCCTCCATAAACACCCTGCAAGGTGTAGGAGCAACAACGGCCCTTCATGGGCACCTTCTGTGTGAGCTTCACCCCTGTGGTGACAGCAGCACCCGGCTAGCAGAGCACTGGTGGGGATGACTGCAGGTCCTGGGGCAAGAGAAGGACTCCTTGGAGGGTGGAGTCCTTGAAGGGAAGCTCCAAGAGTACTGATGTATATTTAGTCCCCATGTGTAAAGTACAGCCAGGTTAAAATTAGATCCAGCATATTCAGGTTTCCCTTTTCTTAGCTTGTCTGGTGAATCCCCAGTTTGGTGCCTGTGACTAGTTTCTTAGTCCTGGAGATGAATTTGCCGCTCTGCCTGTGCAGGGACCTTCCTGGCCACAAACCAAACAAAGCAAATAGTGCCAGTAGAGTTTGTCCTTCCAGGTATGATTAAGACAGCACAAGTGAACAGGCAGTTAAAGGAGGAGCTTGGCCATGGGAAAAGAGGAACGGTAGCACGAGACCCATTATCAAGAGCCAGGTGCTGTCCTGAAAAACAGGAGGGCTCAGGTGACCTGGAGAACATTGATGGGTTGGGACTTGCTGTAGAGTCATAGAATAGTTTGGGCTGGAAGGGACCTTAAAGATCATCCAGTTCCAGTCCCCCTGCCATGGGATATGTGGCAGAGATCACAGCTCACTGTGACAGTGATGGAAATCATCTTCAAGAGTGTGTAGGCATCACTAGGCTGACATGCAGGTGCAACTGAGAGCGTGAGACACACGAGCTTTTCATCTGCCATTTCCATCCATGCATGAGGATTGCCTAAACCTATTATTTTGAAGGCATTTTCCATGCTGCAGCTATCTTCCTTGACCTCTAAAAGATGTGGCTGATCCTGGTCTCAAGATGAAAGATTGCCACCTCACGGGCTGTGAACACCCGTCTGTGAGATTAGGCCCTGAATTATTAATACAATCAATGACTACCTCTTTTCATCCTGGAAGAGGCACAAAGGAAAGCTACGGGGGCCCTGAAAGGGAGGGAGGATTCTCGAGCAAGGGGGAAGAAGTCACCAGTGGAAACTGGTTTTCTTTGGGTGGAAACGCCTCCTGTGTCTGTTTTATTTCGGAGGCAGGAACAATGGCACCATTCAGGAGGTGACAACCCAGCTGTGTTGGTAGGGCTGATGGTGGCACTGGGAAACCTCCTTGGGGACTGTGTCCCCAAGGGAAGGCATCCTTCCTTCCAGCCCCTTTCCTGCATTCGTGCATCATGGGCTGCACTAAAATGGGGGCCCAAAAAGCCTGAACTGCAGAGCTAAAGCATGTAGAGCCTCTGAGGAGGGGAGGAGCTGGGGAGCAGGGGGATGTGTTCATCCTTCCAGTGCCACAAAGCTACCAACACCAACACTCACAGGTGAGACCTGACCTGCAGGCAGGTGACAGAGCCTGTGGTTTGTGGGGTGCATGGTGGGGTTTCTTCACCATGGGAAGGATGTAGATGTCACCAGGAGTGAGGGATGTGCTGCAAGGCCATGCTATTGCTGCCTGGAGCACAGAAACCTTCCCCTTCCCCTCTTCCTTGTGGAGCTTTAGTGTGGAGGTGTTATGAACATGTGCTGCTGGGCCTCTGTCCTGATCTTTACACTTTTCCTTGGCTTGAGCCTGACTGACCTATTTGGGACATTTTGGTGACATTGGTTCCTTTCTCCTTTCCCTGTTGCATTTGGGAGGAAGGTACCATGGCTCTGTCCTCATCAAGGACCAGAGAAAACTCCCCAGTTCTGAGCCCCACACAGAAAAAGCTAGCTGGAAACCAAAAATAAAATACTATCTTCACTCCATTTTTCAAGAGGGTAAAAAAAAATTATTGTGCTAGTGAAGCTATTTTTTTCTGGGTAGATAATGTAAAGCATTGCTTCAGTGCTGGCCAAAATGTCTGAGAAACATTTTTTTCCCCTCCTTTTCATTAAAGTTCATATTAACATTGCAAATAAGATAAGAAAAGAAATGTTCAGTTACAATTATGTAGCGCTTTGTGATCACAAACAGATTCTGTAATCCGTACTCAGGGGGTTTCAGAGCTGAATTTAGCTTATTTCAGAGTACAAAGTTGAGCTCAGCCAAGACTGCTCTCCTACTCTGTATGATCCTCATCTGTGCTCTGGTCACACAAGGGACCCATGGCAAGCCAGGCTGCACAGCCAACATCTCACAGATGCATCAGCTGCCCTGGCTGGGGACCAAACCTCCTTTTTTGCCTATGCAGCTATTTATTAATATTCTTCTACCTATTAGTTTTAAACTGATGCTTGCTTCAAGCATCAAAACCTGGTACTGTTCAGCTGCAGCTGCTGATGGGCTCATTCCCAGAGATATGAAGCTCTTCACTGTGGCTGAAAGTGAGCATTTATGGGCTCTGAGCTGGTCAGTGTTGTCCTCTCCTAAGAAGGGCCATGGCCCATGGGCAAAGGCAGAATCCTGAGCAGGTGGAAATACTCCTCCTCCTTCACTTGTGCTTCTAAACTATTTGACCTTAAAGTATTTGCAGCAGGCATGGGAGTAGTCCCTTGGGTTCAGCATGGCCATTCTGTGTTTAAATTTAGGCATGAGTTGAAATACCTGACTGAGAGCCTTGGAGTGACATTTACAGTAGAGCAACCCCTGGCACTTAATAGAGCAACACAATCCACAGTGAATGTGAAATTCAGTGCCAGGCTGTGCATGGATAAAGCTACAGAGAGATGGACAGGAGTCAAGTGCATCAGGGCTTCTGGGGAGCAGCCCCAGCTGCTCATGGCTTCTGCTGTCATTCCTTGGCTTGATGTCACAAGATGGAAAGAGCAGAGGATGGG